GGCCACATGATGGCGCTATACATTGTAAAATCACTGTATCTGAGTAACCATTTATCTGATTAACTTAAAATTTGACATGTCGTGTCTTTGTCTAAGGTGCCATGACTCGATCTACACATTATATCATAGGGCTGCTTATACTGGTCACTTTGACATAAAAGCGGTCACTCGAAATGTTCATTAAAAATTTGTCAATATGTAAAAATCGAAGTTGCTTCTCTGGAGTGTTTAATCAAATATTTGTTAGCTCAATCTATAAACTCTAACACTCTAATCGTATATTTCGTTGTCGAATAAACTACTTACAGGCGTCCTAACTGCTATATGACCTTACCCTGCTAAACTGCTTGACCCCCGTTAATTGCTGCTCGCAGCTATATTTATTATTATTATTATTACTAATATTATTATCATTGTTATTGTTATTGTTATTATTGTTCTTCTTTCAGTTAAAGTTGATGTACTAAAATAGCAAAAATATTTATTAAAACTATAGACTAATAAAAATTACAAGAAAACAAAACATTAACTTAAATATACGAGTAAACGTTTTGTTTTTCTTTGAACATTTATACAGATTAATAAAATAAGATTAATTTTAAACACATAGAAAGAACTATTACACCAGAACAGCATTAATCTGTCTACTAAATGCATGCATATGAAACAGAAAACGCGTCTCTGCATTTAAATGTGTTTCGGTTGTTTTTCTAGCTGAAAGTTGTGGCCATTGATGGAAATCTGGAGGTGATTCATCAGAGCAGCGTTCAGTTCGACAGCGAGCTGCCAGAGTTCAGGTACCACATCACAATCTATCTGCAGCTTTATTCTGTCAGATTGAGGATTATTATCATTAGATTTAATTTATTATTTCTCTTGTACAGATCTTTTAATTAATTAAATTCAATATTAATTATAAAAAATATTAATATATTAAATTGTTAAGCTATTTAGTAAATATATTTAACAATAATTTAACAATATGTTATTAAATTTTTTTTTTTGGAATGTATTGAAAAGTTACATAAAACATATATATATATATATATATATATATATATATATATATATATATATATATATATATATATATATATATATATGTATATGTGTGTATTATAATATTTATAATTATTATTTTTCTTTTTGTTTCTGTTTTTGTTTCGCTGTTAATATTAATGATTTGGTTGTTTAATTATTTATTGAATTATGTTTTTCCTTTTACTAATTTGTTTAATAGGGTGGGCAGAGACGATTCATGTCTGTATCATTGTATAAAATTTTTTAAACATGTTTAAAATGAATCTATAAATACATGTAAAATGATACTCACTAATGAAATGTGACTGTTTTTAGGACTCATGGAGGAGTTCATATTCATGAGGATAAGCTGACGGTGACGTCTCCGGTGCTCATGTGGGTGAAGGTAAAGCAGCTCTCAGCATTATATAATAAATCACATCAAAAATAAAAGTTTGTTTTGACAATATATATATGTGTGTGTGTGTGTGTGTGTGTGTGCTGTGTATATTTAATATGTAAATATAAATATACACACGCATGCATATTTTTGAGAAAATGCGTGTGTGTGTGTGTGTGTGTGTGTGTGTGTGTGTGTGTGTGTGTGTGTGTGTGTGTGTGTGTGTGTGTGTGTGTGTGTGTGTGTGTGTGTGTGTGTGTGTGTGTGTGTGTGTGTGTGTGTGCGCGTGTGCGCGTGTGTGTGTGTATATATATATATATATATCAGGCTCTCGATGTGCTGCTGGAGAGGATGAGAGACTCTGGCTTTGATTTCTCCAGAGTGAAGGCCGTCTCCGGCAGTGGACAGGTGATGCATTTATTAATATTTAAACATTACAATATAAAGTTCGCTTGTCTTAGATTACGGGATTTATTTATTTATTTTTTTTTTTTGATTGAGAATTTTCTGGAAGTAATGTGAAGGATTCTGGGAACTTTCTTTATGACAAATTGACAAATAATTCATATCATTATTCCAGCCAAACTAAAGCAAATCAGACTTTCTCCAGAAGACGAATATAATGGGGAAAATTATATATGGGCATCTGTTATACACTCACCGGCCACTTTATTAGGTACACCAACTGCTCATTAGTGCAAGTTCCTAATCAGCCAATCACATGGCAGCAGCTCACTGCATTTAGGCATGTAGACATGATCAAGAGGATCTGCTGCAGGTCAAAGTGAGCATCAGAATGGGGAAGAAAGGGGATTTAAGTGACTTTGAACGTGGCATGGTTGTTGCTGCCAGACGGGCTGCTCTGAGTATTTCAGAAACTGCTGATCTACTGGGATTTTCACGCACAACCATCTCTAGGGTTTACAGAGAATGCTCCGACAAAGAGGAAATATCCAGTGAGCGGCAGTTCTGTGGGCGCAAATGCCTTGTTGATGAGGCCAGAGGTCAGAGGAGAATGGCCAGACTGGTTCCAGCTGATAGAAAGGCAACAGTAACTCAAATAAGCACTCGTTACAACCGAGCTCTGCAGAAGAGCATCTCTGAACACACAACACGTCCAACCTTGAGGCGGATGGGCTACAGCAGCAGAAGAGCACACCGGGTGCCGCTCCTGTCAGCTAAGAACAGGAAACTGAGGCTACAATTCACACAGACTCACCAAAACTGGACAATAGAAGATTGGAGAAACGTTGCTGCTCTGATGAGTCTCCATTTCTGCTGACACATTCGGATGCTCGGCTCACAATTTGGCCTCAACAACATGAAAGCATGGATCATCCTGCCTTGTATCAGCGGTTCAGGCTGGTGGTGGTGGTGTAATGGTGTGGGGGAGATTTTCTTTGGGTCCATTAGTACCAATTGAGCATCAACGCCACAGCCTACCTGAGTATTGCTGCTGACCATGTCCATCCCTTTATGAGCACAGTGTCTCCATCTTCTGATGGCTACTTCCAGCAGGATAACGCAGCATGTCATAAAGCTCAATCATCTCAGACTGCTTTCTTGAACATGACGATGAGTTCACTGTACTCAAATGGCCTCCACGGTCACCAGAGCTCAATCCAATAGAGCAGCTTTGGGATGTGGTGGAACGGGAGATTGGCATCATGGATGTGCAGCCGACAAATCTGCAGCAACTGTGTGATGCTATCATGTCAATATGAAAAGAAGTCCAACCCGGTACTAGTAAAGTGTACCTAATAAAGTGGCCGGTGAGTGTATATCATATATAAATATACACCTGTACTGATGTGTATAATCCGTTTCAGCAACATGGCAGTGTTTTCTGGAGGAGCGGCGCAAGACAAACCCTGAAGCGTCTGAACCCACAGCAGCGTTTACACCATCTCCTCCAGGTAAGCGAGGAATCCACTAATAAGCAGCAGGTCTTCATCTGTATGCTGAGGGTTTCTGGATAATCCTTCACCTCAGCAATGAAACAGCATATTCAGAGGAATGTCAGAGGAAAAACAGCCTTTACAAACTTTGTAGCTGTGAGATGCAAACTGGATATACGAGGAAACTGTAATATGCATAATGGATTAGTGAATAAAGCAGCGTGTCCATCCTATGAGGAAAGAAGAGAACAGAATCATCAGTTTTTCTCATCAGAGAAGAAGTTTATCCTACATCAGGTTTTTTTATTTGTGCTTTTTCCAAATTTGTGCCTCTCATTGCGTTTTCAATAACAATTCTTTATCCGACATTGCAGAATTTGCATTAAAGTGTAAACATGGCTATCAACATCCATAGCATGAACCAAAGATACAATAGAAATCAAGGGCTGTTTTTCCCAGCAGGCTTTAGTAGATCTCATTTACGTCAAACGGGTTTGAAAACAGCGAGTGAATGATGACAGAACAATTCGAATGTGTTGCGTTTAACTCTGTGTGTTTAGGGGTGTTTTGCGCTGCAGGACAGTCCCGTGTGGATGGACTCCAGCACAGCAGATGAGTGTGTGTCTCTGGAGGCGTCAGTAGGGGGCGCTCAGAGCCTCGCAGACATCACTGGATCACGAGCTTATGAGGTGTTTCACACTCAATTATCCACAAATAAACGCATGTTGTTGTTGTTTTTGCAAATTCTATATCTACATATGTAAATTTGGCAATAGGAAACCATACTTTCCTGTTTTTAAGGAGTTTAGACATTATTTAAAAGCCATTTCATCATCTGAAAAAAGAAATCAAGTAGAATTATATCTCTTTCCACTAACTTTAATTTACACCTGCTGTAATTGATCATTAATTTTACTCTCAAGTTCATTTTCATCACCTTTATTTTGTTTATTTTTTCTTTATTTGTATTTTTGTTTTCATGGAAACTGTTTATTATTGCTATTTTGTCTCTTGTATGTGAATATTGTGTACGTCGACTGTCTAATCAGTATCTGTGTTCATATATTAGTAAGTAAATAAATAAATGCACGGCTTCATTGGTGTAGATTTAGACTGTTGTGTGTTTGTGTTCAACAGCGCTTCACTGGAAATCAGATTGCGAAGATTTATCGCTTGAAGCCGAAGGAGCTCAGTGAGACGGAGGTAAAATCAATAATCAATCAAATGTGATCAATAAAATGCTCTTTAAAGCTTTATTATTATTAATATTATTAGTGTTTATTCCGAACTATTGTTACTGTGTTACTATAATTTGGACAGCACGGTGGCTCAGTGGTTAGCACTATCGCCTCATAGCAAGAAGGTTGCTGATTCAAGCCCCAGCTGGGTCAGTTGTCATTGTCTGTGTGGAGTTTGCATGTTCTCCCTGTGTTGGTGTGGGTTTCGTGCGGGTGCTCCGGTTTCCCCCACAGTCCAAACACATGCGCTATAGGGGAACTGATGAACTAAACTGGCCGTAGTGTATGAGTGTGTATGGATGTTTCCCAGTACTGGGTTGCGGCTGAAAGGGCATCTACTGTGTAAAACATATGCTGGATAAGTTGGTGGTTCATTCTGCCGTGGTGACCCGAGATTAATAAGGAACTAAGTTGAAGGAAAATGAATGAATGAATGCTACTATAATTAATGATACATTATATTGATGTAATTAATGTAGGAAATAACCCGCATTAGTCATTAGTTAATAATTTGTTGTGATTTTCAGAGAATTTCCCTGATCAGCAGTTTCGCTGCTTCTCTGTTTCTGGGCGACTTTGCTCCAATCGACTTCAGTGACGGTATTTTCCTTCATCACACACACACACACACACACACACACACACACACACACATACAAACGGAAGAGTACACTGTGTTTTAAATCATTCTCACATCAAATTAACGGTTTTAAAAAATAAGACTGTTCAGTGCATTGAAAAATTATAATTTCATCACAATAATTCTAAATGCAATATTGTTATCATAGAGAGGTGTGATACATTTAATTTATTTTATGTGCCAAGCGTTTGAATGTTGTGTTGTTTATCTATCAGATGAGTTTGATGAATTATAGATAAATCATATTAATAATTGCATTTGCTTAATTGATTTGCTAAATATATTTACATATATATATATGTTATTTCGGCTAGAATAAAAGTAGTTCTTAATTTTTAAACACCATGTTAAGGTCAATATTATAGCCTCTTTAAGCTATATTTTCTTGATAGTCTACAGAACAAACCATCATTGTACAATAACTTGCCTAATTACCCTAACCTGCCTAGTTACCCTAATTACCCTAGTAAAGCCTTTACATGTCACTTTAAGCTGTATAGAAGTGTCTTGAAGAATATCTAGTCTAATATTATTTACTGTCATCATGACAGAGAAAATAAATCAGTTATTAGAGATGAGTTATTAACACTGTTATGATTAGAAATGTGTTGGAGAAATCTGCTCTCCGTTAAACAGAAATTGGGGGAAAAAATAAACAACCGTCTAATAATTCAGGGGGGCTAATTATTCTGACTTCAACTGTTTATACACACACACACATACACACACACACACACACACACATTAATATAAATTATATTCTTAGAAATGCAGAACAATGATAAATTATAATAAATATGTATAATATTAAATGTAGAAAAGTAATAATAATATATTCTATAAATATCATATAATATTATACAAAATAATAACAAACACACTGTATATATACTGTATATATTCACCCTCCTGTGAAATGTATTTAAATTAAATTGTTTATTCTTTTTCAAATATTTTTCAAGCGATACTTAATCGACAAGGAATTTTTCACAGTATTTCCTCTAATATTTTTTCCCATTTTTAAGCATATTATTCACCCCTTCAGCAATATTAGTGTTGGATTGTCTCTAGAACAAACCAATGTTATACAATGACTTGCCTAATTACCCTAACTTTACCCTGATTACCCTAGTGAAGCCTTTACATGTCACTTTAAGCTGAACACTAGTGTCTTGAAGAATATCTAGTCTGATATTATTTACTGTCATCATGATGAAGAGAAAATACATCAGTTATTAGAGATGAGTTATTAACACTATTATGATTAGAAATGTGCTGAGCTTTTCTTTCTGTTAAATAGAAATGAACGGGAAAAATATACCGGAGGGTATACTGAAGCTCTGTATATATATATATTTCACAATCCTCACTAATAGTATGATATGTTTTCCCATTTTAAAGTTAGGAAAGATGGATTAAGAATAACTGATGTCTGATGTTGTGATTATTAATGTTCATCTGTGTGTGTGTTTCAGGATCAGGGATGAATCTGATGGATATTTTCCAGAAACGCTGGTCATCGGTGTGTTTACAGGCCACAGCGCCGCATTTATCTGAGCGACTCGGAGAACTCACACCGTCTACAGCCGTTCTGGTCAAACACACTCCGTTCTCTCTGAAAATACACTGATTTACCGAAGTACCTGTGCTGGAGGCTATAAATGGGTTTGTGTGTGTTTTACAGGGCTGTGTTTCTCCATATTACTCTGAACGCTACGGGTTTCCACAAAACTGTAGAGTAGTGGCATTCACTGGAGACAACCCTGGTAAAACTGCTTTACTCACACTCAATGCAGAAATCAGGAGACTCAGTAAATGGATGATTGATTTCAATCTGTACGGCTAATGTGGTCTTTCTGACGGCAGGGGGCGCCAAAAGCTCACGACTTTACTGTCTTTATAGCTCTTATTGAGCTAAAAGTAGTTTGCTTGTTTTTGCTGTATAATTCTAAATTTGTAATATTTCTTTTTATAAACATCTAAAATTAATACATTTAATTAAAGTATTGAATTATTTTTTTAATATTCAGATTACAATTAAAACTAGTATAATTTAATTGTGCTTAAATGGTATATTTACAATGCATAACAAGCCTTTAAACGATTCTATATTCACTTGAATGTGTATTTTACATGTATGACTGAAAGCTGCTCATATTACACAGATTGAGTGTGTTTTTCAGCACAACCCTTCATTTCTCTGCTGCTTGTTGTGTTTTCAGGATCTCTGGCTGGAATGAGGCTGCGGGAGGGAGATCTGGCGGTGAGACACGTACTCATTAATCTGATGATTATCTACAGATGTGCAGTATTGCTGTTGATTAGCTATATTTCTTGCCATTAAACATTTGCTTAGATTATTATTATTTTTAATTAGCACTAAATGCAGAAGCATGAGCAGAGCGAGACTTTTTTAAATGCGTTGAAACATCTGAACGCTGCAAACTTTTGATGCATGAGTGTGTTAGTGTTTTACTGTTATATGTGGGTAGCACGATCGCCTCACAGCAAGAAGGTCTCTGGTTTGAGTCCCAGCTGGGTCAGTTGGTGTTTCTGTGTGGAGTTTGCATGTTCTCCTCGTGTTGGTGTGGGTTTCCTCCGGGTGCTCCGGTTTCCCCCACAGTCCAAACACATGCGCTGTAGGGGAACTGATCAACTACACTGGCTGAAGTGTGTGTGTGTGTGTGAGAGTGAATGAGTGTGTATGGGTGTTTCCCAGTACTGGGTTGCAGCTGGAAGGGCATCTGCTGTGTAAAACATATGCTG